GGGAGGGAAGCTGTCGATTAGGTGGCGGTGCCTGAGAAAGAGGAGCGGCCGGCTCGAGAGCATAATCAAGGAGCACTATCTGGTCGGGACGGACGATGGGGGACTGCTCGGGGTTTTCGTGTTCGGGGACGACGAGAAGAGGGTGAGAGTGTACAGGCTGTCGGATGAGGACGGGAGGTGGGATCCGGTGGGGGAAGGCGTAGGGGACGACAAAGTGCTGTACCTCAGCCAGGGATCGTCGTTCGTTGGCCCGGCCCGCAAGGGGAAGGGGAACACGGCGTGCTTGGCAAAGTTGTACCAAGGAAGACTCGTCGCGTATTGTATGAAGGACGGGAAGTACCGGTTGGAGGAAGCCAGTGGGGACACGGAGGATCGGGACACGGAAGTCTATGCGCTGGAGCGCGGGAAGAGTTGGACACCGGTCGATGGAGGGTACAACGACGCGGTTGAGTTTCAGAGTTTCTACTCTGCCGCCTGGTTTAAGCCGGAGCCGGGACGCCGGACCCCAGGGCAGATGGAAGAGGACCAGTGGACACAGTTTGATTCTTCAGTTGTTGATTCTACAATAGAGCATGATACAATGAGTGAATATTCAGAAGAATAATTTCAATTCTGTTTCTAATTTTGGACAATGTGCAATTTAATTTAAGTTGATCCTCATTATTTATTGCCTATCATTTTGAGATGGAAACTAGCATGACTATATGAATCTTTTTCCTAATTTAGCATGATTATGAATCTTTTTCCTAGTTTGGTACATTTTTATTTTTTAGTTAACATTGACTAGTACAGATCCCGTGCGATGCACGAGGTGTACAATTTTAAGGTCATATATCTAGCCTTGTAATTGTATAAATGAATAAAAAAATGTACGGGATATATAGTACGTGACCTGTGCGAGACACGGAAACGTATGTTGAACTATTCTTATCATCTTTTATAAATAAATATAATTATATATTATTCCTTGCATAATACTATGAGATGTGTTAGTTATATTGGTTGTAAATTTGTTTTTATTTGTGAAAGAGAGAGCGTGATTTATTTCCTTAATAATATGGAATTTTGGAAACAAAAAAATTTGAGATAAAAAAATACACGTCCAAATTGGAAAAAATAAGAAAAGATTTATGATCAAATGCGTGATTTATTTCCTTAATAATATGAAATTTTAGAAACAAAAAAATCTGACATAAAAAAAATACACGTCCAAATTGGAAAAAAAATAAGAAAAGATTTGTGATCAAATCTTACTATACACGTTTTATTTCTTGATTTTATCAGATTTTTTTTTACCAAACTACACGTAATTAATGCACTTGATAAGATTAGAAAGTCATTAATTAATGTTGACTATTCAACATACTGAATTTAGTAAATAAGTTTGCTTATAATATAAATATAGATGTGGTAGATTGTGTACTGTATCATCAAAAAATAATTAGACCCAAGGTACGCATAAGACATGACATATACGCATTGAATTAACTACCTACTGTAAGGTTAAGTTCGTTGGGTAACCGAGCCGAACTTGGGTTTTTTGAACGAACCGCAACATTTTGGTGTTACCAAAATGTAGAACCGACTTGTAGTCGGTTACCTCACATTCGATAACCGAAAATTCCGGTTCAATTTTTGTTTTTACCAAACATACCAAACCCAAATGAGCATGGGAGCAAGAGAAGCTAGTGGCGAGCCTGGGAGCAGGATTTGGGAGAAGCTAGTCGCAGAGGTCAATTGTGATTTGGGAGAATTGAAATTTGGAATAAATAGGTGAGAATTGAAAGCGGGAGTAACAGAAACAGAGGTATACACACACTGGTGAGCGGAGCTAGGTTTTACTTATATTTTATTATAATGTTATCGTTTGGTACCGGTACTGACCGCGCGTCGTTACACGGCAAATTTAAATTTATAAAGTTTTCTTAACAAACCTCTACTAACTAATAGTAGCGGCGAGTAAGGGTCGATCCCACGAGGAGCAGGAATTAAGTCGTGACAATTTTCGTATTAATCGAACTAAACTAAGAAAGCAAATAAATATGGGGGGGATTGATTTTATAAAAATAAAAATAACAAAATAAAATAAAAATCAAATGAAATAAGAGAAGTCCAGTTTTCGGTTCAGTTATCACCCAAATCTCAATCTACCGTTAATTAATTTCGACGCTTTCTTTAAATTGTTAACGAATTACCAACCCTAGCTAACAACAAGCTCTGTTAACCGAATTTTCCCTTACAGGATATTTAGTCGAAATAAGCTCTTCGACCAAGCCTAACTAGCGGACAACCTAGAATAAGCTCTCTAGATTTAATTCACTAGCAGCATTGATCACTAGGAAAATAGATCAGTCTAAGCAATGGACGCGTAAGCTCGGACCATTTAACTTATGTTCACGCTACCTAAGGATGCACGACCCCTAGTTTACTACTAACGAAACAAGACAATAACAATTACGGATTAAAGTCCTGAATCTAGCAATTAAACTATGAACATTCTACGTAGCTGGCCAAACTAAATCAAACATCATAATTCATAAACATTAAACACAGATAACGTAAATCAACTCATCAACAAAAATAAATACGACATCTCAATTAACCAACAAAAGAAATAGATCATCCAATACATAGACAAATCGAAATTAGGGTTCAAACATCCCCTCAAGCTGGATAAAAATCCTAATCTAACATACTAATAAAAATAAATAAAAGATAAAAAGAGAGAATAGAATTATCTCTCGTTTGCGGGTGTGGTTTCCCTCTGCGTGTGTAGTCTCTTCCTTAGTCGGGGCGTGACGTCTACCCCGTGCGTGAATTCTCTCTGCGGCTTTTTCACGTAAATAATGTCTCCCTAAATAATTCCCCGTAGCAAATTATATATGGCTGCCAATTAATCCCTCATAATGAGTCCTACTATCAGTCCATGATATTTCCCTTAAAAGACTCAAATTATAACATCTCCACCAAATAATTCCTCCTTTTCGGCCGCGAGGCGTGTCCAGGAAATTCAAAATAATTCTCCCCCTTTTTGGTGTGTGTCCAATTGGGCTCTTGATTGTTTAACATTGGGCCCAAATTCTCTTTTTTTTTTTTTTTCTTTTCACGTGAATAGCATCTTTTCTTGGCCCATAATCAATTATGCTTTTCATTCTCTCGTATTCAGCCGCCCGACAATAGTTCACGTGAACTCTCGTCCAATGCTTCTAAAATACTGAAAATAATAAATAAAACATCAAAGCACATGAGTTCATCCAAATAATAAATAAGTAGAG